CGCAAGCATACAAATCATCAAAAAACCTCCACCTTTACCTCCATCCGTGGGAAAACTGTCTTCCATGAAGCTGCTTCTTAGCATCAAAAAGGTTGGTGACCAACCAGGAAACTCACAACAAGCCCTTAGGATGCACCACCCTTGGCCAATCTGCCTTCTCCCAACTGTTGTTTTTGCTGTTACCAAGGACATGTGTGAGGAAAACAAATGCCCCTTTGAGGAGAATAATTATTTGGCGCTTATAAATTATCTTCACTTGAAGGCTTATGAAGTTTTATTAATATTCTCTAGTTGGGCAAAATTACACAGGTCTTGATAACAGAAACATGGGCAACAAACTTAGATTTTTAATTTTCACAATTATAGTATCTTATAAAGAATTCTCAATTTCTGCTTTTTTACCTCACATCTCAACAATATTATGGTGGATTGGGAAATCATGTTTGTGAAGAAAAAGAAGTAAAAACACATACTTTCCCCTCTTTCAGACATCAGTAAGCACTTTTCACACACCAGTGGAAATAAAAAAAGTTATTTTGCTTCCAAACATAAGTCAAAAACCACATGACCATCTTATCTGGAAGTTGGTCTCCAAAATAATAAAAACTTGAACATGCCCTGCTCCTTAAAAAAAGAAAAAAAAATTTCCCTGCTTGCTACGCTGATATCTGAATGTAATTCATGAGCTTTGGGAAAATGAAATCATGCAATAAAGTTCAACCATGAACAAAAGGCTAATGTACACTTGAGGTGCTGGTAATTTTGTGGGGTATTCTCCATTAAGTACTTAGGCGATTTTATTTGAACCAGTCTTCTGAAGAAGTACTCCTTTGCACACCAGGAAATGTTTTCTTTTCTAACCACTTCTGCCTCTGAATCTTTCTCAGAAGTAACTATAACATGAGGCAAATAACTTCCACTCTTTACTAATTTAATCCAACCATACAAAACTAGACCATTCTCTAAACTGGCATAGCTTTCAGGGTCTGATCAAAGTTCTATTTTACTTTTGTTTTCTATCATCTTCTCAAAGGTATCCCAGGGATTTATACACAGGAATACTGGGGCAGATTCCATAACTCTTCTATTTATACAATCACTTCAGAGTCCAAGAAGAATTAAAATGTCCAGTTCTAGACAAAAAGGACCTGACCTGGCTATAAAATGACTTCTGCCCACTTCCAGTTGCCTCCTGCAGGGAGTGGGGGAAGGCTGGCCTCCTTCTTCTTCACCATTCGCTTTCCTGCTGGCCAGTTTCTCACCCCTCCAAGATCAGGGCAGGAAACAGAACCACATTCACTGTCTTCACACACTCCTCTAAGTGTCTGAGTGACATTCACCTTTCTTCTGATGGCTTCTCATTCCTTCTTCTGCCTCTGAATTTCGAGAAACCAGCGGCTGGAGTGTCCACACTTTTAACTAGCTCTCCTTCCTATGTGGCCCCATCTGGGCCTCCAGCTACTCCTCAGTCATCCTTTGCCTGTCAAACTTAGGAAAAGCAGGTGATCCAGCTGTCCAAGTCACCTAATGAGCCTCAAATACAGGCAGGAAATGCATGTACACCTCAATTCATGATCCTTTATCCCTATCACTAGCACGAGGCTTATGATAAAGTGCCAACAGATTTCTCTTAAGACATCTTCCCAACAACATCTTTCCTCTCAATCCTCATGCCCCACCCTCCACAGTACTAAAGATTGAAACCTGCCTTTGCATGCTACCCTCTACCACTGAGCAACATCCTCAGCCTAATCCCTCAGATTCTTGAAGTGGCTAGTAGATTCGCAAGTTTCCAAAATGTTCTCAAATATCTATGCTGACATTTCTACTCAGTAGCCTAGCACTTTCCTTTGGAAATCCACAGAACTTGAAAGTATTCCTTAGTCAAAACTTTAATTTACTACCCTATTTTATCACACACACATGCACAAATGTTTAGGATAGACTGTTAACTTCCAATTGAAGTTCATTTTTACTCCTATTTCTAATAAAAATTTGAACATTCTGAGGGTACTCAGGGTCATCAAATCCAACACATATACACACTCAGTGGTGAGTCTTACCTCACCACAGTTTTAAAGATCACTCATCACTGGCTTGACTTCTGGTCCTAATTCTACTACTGGAAACAAACCTACTTCCTGCTCTTCAGCTATCTACACTGGTTTCCAGAACCTGGCCAAGATTCCTCTCTGCCAGTTTAATGCTCCTTATTCTCCTTCTGGCCTAATTCCAGACCCTTGTTTTCCAGGCCACTTTAACCTGGATAGCCTGAAGGTGGTCCCTGTCCTTTATAAATGTGGGGCCCAGAATGAAATAAGGACTAGAGTGGACTCTGGGTTCTTTTGATCCAAACAGCACAGGCAGGAAGCAGATGGTTGTGGCCAGGCCCCAGGTTCTAATTTCAGCTCTACTATTTATTAGCTATGTGACTACAGGAAAGTTATTTCATTTCTTTTTCCCTTAGTTTCTTCATCTATTAAATGGGAACAGTGATACTCACATTCCCTACTTATAGGGTTGTCACAGGGGCTGATTTAAAGTTGTAAACACTCATGACTATGCCTGACTACCAACAAGATCAATGCAAATGTCTGCAAGGAAAGGCGCAACCTTATCAATGAAATCTGCAGTGGCTCCTGAGTTCACTTCACACAACGGTTCATTCAGAGCTGGTGGGCTACTGAAACTCTAGGTTTTTTCTTTCACATGAGCTGCTTCTCTGTGGGGCTGCTTTATCTTTTGCTGTTTAAATTAATTCTTTGAGGTATAATAGATAATGTGCAATAGGAAGAAAGGGGGCAAAGGGGAAGGGAAGTGGGAGGGGTAGGGGAAAGGAAAGAAGGGAATGGAATTAATATGAGAAAATTTAAAAAATGGAAACAAAGTCTTTGTAAATAGGGAGGGATGGAGGGGTTGAAGGGAGAGCAGGGGAATGGGGAAAAAATAAAAACCAAGAGAGATTATGTACGGGTGAAAATTTCCAATGATGAATGTCATTATATTATATACCTAAAATGTACCAATAAAATTAATTTTTAAAAATAAATTAATTAATTAACTCTTTGAACCTTAGTGCAGAAATAGAGCTTTAACCCCACTGTGAGCCCACTACTCCTGTATTATATTCTCTTGTCTGGATATAATAATATGGGTCTCATAGATTATCCTCCCAGATTTCTAGTTGCTGTAACTCTGCTCTATGTCCCTTCTATGTCTTTATTTTGGTGAGTGACACAAAATACAAGTGACAAAGACAGAGCCTTATTTTATTCCACCCTTTCCCCTCCTTACCAAGAAACTGTCTAAAATGTTTCTGCAAAGGCCAGACACACTTAACATTGTCTACTAATGGGAGGGGTCAGCAACTATAATTTATCTTCGGGTCTCTGGTTTGGGGAACCTCCCTTAGTAAAATGGAAGTAACCAAAGGAGACTGCATTAGAAACACTTAACCAAAGTATTGTCATCCTAAAGTCATGAGAAACTCAAAAGGAAAGAATTCAGAGAAGAATTCTCATTGGTGAAATATATCAGCATCTGGCGGTCCACAGAAATATGGAGAAAGAAATTTACTCCTTGCAAAGGTCCTGATAATGGCATTTGCAAGGTAGAAAACTACACCTACTGTAACCTGGGGTTAGTCTTGGAGTCTGAATGGGGACAGCCAAGGCTAGGTGTGCAGAGGCAGCAGGATAGACAACAGACACGTGGAGTTCACAAAGCAATGCTTACCGTCACTCATTCAATGTACTCTGATATTTCCTACTAAGTTTTATGTTTTAAAACATGGCTCACTAGACTGGTATCATTACCCTAATGAGTCATAACTCACATCTGAGGAACAGTAGATACAGCATGCCCCAATCTATAGCCCAGTAGATTGCAAGAAAGAGGAAAGAAGTTAGTCTGGAAAAAATCATTGTAAGTGCTTTCTTGGCTCGTTTTGAGCTTTCGTTGTAATGAATTTGTTCTCAAACATTGCCAGGACTCAATGTTTCTCTCTTTTGAAAAGTCTTCTAGCTCAGCTCTCAATTCTCCTGGCTCAGTTCTCATCTCTCACACCTGTACAAAGATGACTATAAAGGCTTTCACTGCTTTGGGATGCCTGTCACCAGGACCACCATCTAGTCCAGTTTCAAGCTTCAAGATCTTCTTACAAATGTTGAGACAACCTTTCTCACTTTTGAAAGGAAAGGCTCTACCTATTCCTGTCCCTCCCCTGTTAATATCTTCTTGTCTACCATATCACCCAGTAATCTTCCTCATCAGAACAAAATTCTCTGAGGGCATGCAGCTTCCAGTAGCCCCTCACCCCTACTTGCCGCCTCAGGCCTCTCTGCAGCACCTGCTCTTGGTGATGTACCCTACCCACCTGATATACAGACTAGATTAGGCCAGACTCACAGTCCTAATTTCCAGAACCCTTCTCCCACTGTTAACCGGGGAAGTCAACTGGAAAAATCTATTTAATATCTCAACCTCATTTTCTTCACTTGCACACTGGAAATACTGCTGCTTACTTTTGGGGTTTTCATAAGAATTAACATATGTATGAAAGTTCCTATCTTCCCTGGAGTGGCATGGCAACTTTCCTCCTTTTGCTTTCAAAACATCATTGTTTTATTGTTGTCAGATTTAATCGAGTGTCATAATCGGAGAGCCTGTGTCATCTGAAATGCTGTGGAAATCACAAGACTGAAAAATAGGTTTCCAATGAGGCTACTTTGAGAAGGCCTTCCTCAAATCATTACACAGAAAGGGAGGATGAAACCACAGTTTCCCTCTCATCAGCATGATGATCCACACAGGGTCACCCCAAATAACAGAACTGTCACTCCAGGGTTCACTGGGAAAACCCTACCCACCGACGGGGCGCGTGCCTGGGCCAAGGACAACGCATTTCACTGGCGGCGCAGAGTCCCCCAGCCCAAGAGGGAGCTAAGCGCCAAGGCACCGCGGGCACACGCAGACCCCTGTGGCCGGGAAAGTTTTCTCACCTGAAGGGGAGGGTGGCGGAGGAAGCCCACCTTTGGCCAGACGCCTTAGCTTCCAGCTCTTTCGGAAGCTCTCCGGCAGGACCCACGCACACCTGCAAGCTGCAGGAAGGTTTTAAACTGGGGTTCTCTATCTTCCTACACTCTTCCCCGGGTACCTTCCAAACCCTGTTCCTGCCCTCCCACCCCATTCTCCACTCCACCCTTCACCCGCCAAACTGAAAAAAAAACCCACTTCCTTGGCCGGAACCGTACGCACCCCGCGCCCCGGCTTTGCTTGGCCCGGGCGCCCCGCCCCGCCCCGGGGTTACCGGCTGGCGCACCGTGACTCGGCCACCGAGGGCTCGGTCGTGTCACAGCTCCTCCGACGTGCGGTAGCCGCGTCTGCTGCCGCTGCCTGCAGTGGACGAGTCGCGTACAGCGCCGCGGTGCTGTGGAGACGCGCGCTCCCGACAGGAGGCGGAGGCGGCGCCGGGCGCGGGACGCAGAGCAGGGACTGTAGCGCCGGAGACTCCTCCCAACCCACCTCGGACACCGAGCCACGAGCAGGAGAGCCAGAACCCTTATCTGCCCATGCAGAACCTTTGTTTGCCCACGCTGTCCTTTGAATTTGGATCAGAACCTGCTACAAAGGAAAGGAAAAAGGACCGGAATTTTTTTGCTCTCCCTGCCTTTGCTGTGGGTTGGGTTGCTCAAGCCAACTTTGGGCTCAGGGAGAAGGAATGGAGCAGCGTGATTTGAGCCTCCTAAAAATCCTCAGCATTGGGTTCAAGTTCAGTAAGGCCTGCGTCCTCCACAGCGTGCTGCTTAACATGGCAGCTCAATTTCTGGGCCTACCTCTGCCCACAGACGCAGGTGCCAATGGTCACTCAAATGTCCTTTAAGCAGGGGACCAAAGGGATGCGACTGGGCTGGGGTAGTTTCAAATTAACAGCCTTCGCTGGATCCTTCTACCTTCCAGCAAATATTTTATTGAGACCATATTCCTTGCCAGACACTAGGCACTAGGGGGTACAGCTTGCTAGAACTTATATTCACATACATAAAATGTGAAATGTTTAAGATAATTTTAAAGTGCTGTGGACCAAAAGCAGAAAAACAAAACAAAACAAAAATGGAGGAAATGGATGTTTGGTGAGGGGCAGTTTTAAATAGAGTGGTTGGAGATACCTTCACAGTAGAATAAGAACACAAGGAAATGAGAGAGCAAATCAGGCTAGTGTCTGGAGTGAGAGCTCTTGCTGTGTGCTGGCACTGAGATGTTTACTATTTAGATATGCCAGATAAAGCGGTTAGTAGTCCCAGTTAGGTCTCCTTAGTAATTGAGGGAGTTAATCTCCAAGCACAGAAGCCTGGTACCCCAACTACTAGTTTAATTACAGCCATTCTGCCAGGGGGGAGGGTGGGATGCAACCATGAAGCACATGTGCAGGCTGGTGGTGCCAGAAGAGATATCGTTCCTGGAAATGACATCTGAGTCACTGATTCTTGTAAAGTAGCTTCATTGTCGCGTATAAAGTGAAATATTTTGGAAACCATCTTCATAGCATATGTATATATGCTACACATGCCTCATCTATAGCCAATTGAATTCTAAATGACAGAATTTGCCCATCTGTGATCAGAGTTGCTAATAGTTTCTGAGTCTCTGGCTCATTGCAAGTTGCATGTTCCTGTTGTTCCTGTTCATGGGGAAGCAATCCATCACCCATGCAGCAGAGCTGCATGTCATCAGCATCTGGTGAAAGTGTTCAGAGAGCACAGGGACAGAACTGCTGCTGCTGAGAGGCAGCAGTGCACACAGACCAGTCTCCACACTTGCTGTCAGGTTTAGGGGGCCTTGTTCTAGTCAGAGTATCAAAGGGTCATGAGACTGAGAGCCAGGGCCCATTGTCCTGTGTAAAAAGATGTGGGTTGCTCATCTTTAGTTTCAGAAGCCAAAGCTGTAGCACCAGGGAACATCATCAATAAGATAGCAGAGCTACCACGTCTCTGCTAGGTATCTCTGCCTTTCCCTGGCTACATTTCCTTCTCCATTACTCCAAGGGCAACAATACCTTTCTAACTTTCCCTCAAGGTGTACCTCAGATACCACTTCCTCCAAGAGGCCTTCCTCACTGCCCAGCTACGAAGAAGCTCTTGACCTACAACCTGATACCTCTCCTACGGCATCTGTCTTTTTCTACTTTAGAGTGGCATATATACTTTAACTCTCCCTAGGCCTACTTTATTTTGTTCCTCTGCAGGTTCCAGCATAATATCTTGCATCCTAAAGGCACATACTAATCTGTAGGAACTCAAATTCATTGTCTTTTAATTTTGTCCTTGCATTCCGGAATAACTTTCCAGCTCACAGAAATCTATTGACAAGACTCAGTTGTATGTTGCTATAGATGCTTATTAATATAAGTTGGCAAACAGTTTGCCTTGTGGTAAATTATATTTTCCCTATTTGAAGATTGGAAAATTTGGGATTTAATAGTAATTTCCTTAAGATTACAATACTAACATTTGATGGAGTTAAGATTTAAACTCAGGACTATTTGACTTCAAAATGTATGCTCTTCACCACAAGCTCATACTTTACCTCATTCAGTCATTCCTTCAGGAACTCCTTTGACCTTTTGACATTTACAGATACTATGCTCAGCTCTGTATCAAGCATCAGGAAATTTTTAATCATTAAAACACTGTTCTTTCTCCTCAGAATTGCTCATTATCTAATAAAAGGGACAGGCAAGTAAAGAAACAAAATTTAATGTTATGATCCTTATAAAAGGAGATTCACAGAGACCTAAAGGAGCTCTTTCTTTCACCTTTGGTAATGGGAAGTGGTTGATGACAGTAAGGATTCACTAAGTAGATAGAATATGTGATTTTAATTTTGAAGATATACAGTAATTTGTTACAATGGTAATGAAGTTCTTGCATTGCATACAGAAGAAAGAGCATGTGCAATCCTGCAGGCGTGAAGAGTGAAACACATGCAGAGGATGGCTACACTAATTCAGGAGGACTGCAGCATGGTAAGGGTGCCAGGGTGAGGCTGGAGAAATTGTCAGGGTCAAATCACAAGGGGTCCATAGAGTAGCTTCATGGGGTCCACTGTCCCCTGTAAATGCATAAAAGGGAATTTGTATCTGTGCAAGTTTTCGGCAGGGCTGACAGGTAGAGAAGTTGGGTCAAGGATCAAGGTAGAGCATTTCAGTTTCCCTACATGCAGCCTGTTGCCTGATCCATGGGCCACAAGTAACTCCAAAGAACTATGATATTAGCCAGGATATGCTGAATACTTGGATTTTGGATGGCTGTAAGATTCACCTTTCCTATTCTATGCCATCTCTGGGCAACAAAGCTGAATTCCAGCCATGTCTTCACCTGCATCCATATTCCAAGGACAAGAGTAGGGAACTGCCAGGTTCCCTACTACCAGGCCAAGAGACAGGTAGCTGGCAGCTGAGAACATATCCTGGGGAGGCAGAAGGAGGCAGGCCTGAAATGAGGGAGGACTCTGAGGCCATATTGTATGTTCCATTGCCCCATTGCTCTTCACTTACTGCAATGAGATAATATGTGTAGCACCCAAATGTATATATTCTGACCCCTTGTATCTTAGCATATGATTGTATTTGGAAATAGGGCCTTTTAGAAGGTGATTAAGATTACATGAGGTCATATGGGCAGTCCTAATCCCACCTGATTGGTGTTCTTATAAGAAGATTAATACGTAGAGGAACATCGGGGACACATGAGCACAGACAGATCACCACATGAACGGGCAGCCATCTGCAAGCCAAGGAGGGAGGCCTGGAGAGAGCCTTCCCTTAGGACTCTTTTTTTTTTTTTTTTGGTACCAGAGATCGAACTCAAGACCTTGCACTTGCAAGTCAGGCACCGGAACCACTGAGCTAAATCCTGGCCCCTCTTATGAGTCTTAATGGAAACCAACCCTGCTGGTATCATGATCAGGATTTCCAGTCTACGAACTGTGAAAAATAATTTTCTATGTTTAAGCCACCTGGTATGGAGTGTTTTATGGTGGTTCACAAACTTACAGAACACCGCTTCAAAATTCAAAGAAAAATTTTTATTAATTTCAAGATGGTGACAGAATAACTTTAAATTTCAAGGCTGTGGCCCCCTCTAATCGCAAAGTTCTGTACCTCTGTTCTGGTCACACCCTATGAAGCCAGATCTTAGGAATGTGGGAATGGAAATCTGAATACAACATGGAATCCCTCAGTGGAGAAGTGGCTGAAGCTGGGGGGACAGATGGGTGGTTCCTTGAAAACAGAAGTGAGAAGAGAAGAGGGCTGATGGCAGAAAGAGCAGCTAGAGAAATAAGAGATGAACTAGAAGATAGAACTCAATAGAGAAATGGGCAGTAATGTCTAAGGCCCAAGGTCATGTGATTAAGAATCAAAGCCCACAGGTCTTAGCCTGGAGGTCATATGGTGGGAACTGGGGCAGATTGCTACCGGTAAGGAACAGGGGTACAATCACAAGCTATTCTTCCAAGGAGGCTGCAGAGAAGGGAGTTAAATGAGGTGCAAGCCTGTGTAGGCCAGGGTACCAGAAGGATTGAAATCTAGCCCACACACTGCTACCAAGGCTACATCAGCCTGCTGCAAGGGCTGATGGAAGGTTTTCCAGCAAAGACTCATAGCCTTAGCCCTAGTGTGGAGCTATAGCTAGATCTTTTTTGTTTGTTTGTTTATTTATTATCTGAATCCTCTCACTAGCTCCACAAAAGCAGCAGCTATTCTGTTTCGATTCAACATGAGAACTGTTCCTGGCACCTGGTAAACATAGCAAACATGTTGAATAAATTAATGGAATGTAAGGAGAAAGGAAATGTCATGTGTATTTTATTGTTTAGTCTTTATTCATGTTTCAGAGATTTAAACATGTTTATAGATTGAGAGCCAGAACGCAAAAGGAAGAAAAAAGTTGAAGACAGTTAATAGAAGAAATAAGATACTAAAGAAATTTTTAAAATGAGTCAAGAGAATGCTGGAGGAAAAAAATCTGAATCATTCTTTGGGAAATGTACTTATTTATCCATTTAATGGTGAATATCTTGCATTGTTTTGCACTCTTTAGGGATGGTGAGCCTATTTGAGGGGCAGGGTTGATAGAAAGAAAACATAAAATATATTCATTTCTATTTGTGCAAGATGACACCATCTAGTTAAGAAGTTTTTGGGGGAAAAATATACAGCAAGGAAACACATCAAGTATGTTCCCATTTACTCAGCCCTTTCCTCTTGCTTCTAGTCTTGATTTTCCTCCAATAGACCTGGGCAAACATCCATCCACAGAGTGTGGCACCAGGTAAACAAAACATCTAATGTGTTTAGTTCATGCTTGGCATTCTGTCAGAATGTGAGTGTCTCTGAAATGCCAACTAAAATACATTTCACGAGAGAGAGAGAGAGGAGAGAGAAA